ATGAACAATTACAAAGGAAGATGGAGTAGAACGAAGAGCAGCCCCGAGTTGAGGTTACTACGTGTCATCTCAATTCTGAGTTCTACCGCCTCTTTACCTCGCTCCACAAGTGATCCTATAAAGTAGTCCATCAAGGACCTGGAGGGGTTTGCTCTACAAACAGAACAGGAAGAATATGAAATGTCACGAATTTTCATTGCAAAAAAACTTGAAAATCGCTCAAAAGATTCACACCAATAAAAAAGCCAAACTCTACTTTCTACCGATTCTTATGTTTTCCGAAATACCAGTCGTTGCCGAGCACGAACTCTAGATCCGAGTCAAAATCTACCTTGCCCTTACTTGTTGAGCTCTTATTTTCCACGAGGTATACCTTGATGAATAGAAAAAAAGAATTCCTTTCCTGAGCCTATCGAATACACAAACTTCTCTCTTCAAGACTTGACTAACCAAATTCCAAACTAATGCCTCTACTGTTCAATTTGTCACACTTTTTCTTGGAATTCGCCCTAAAACCTCCTTGCTCTAACGTGGGTTTTACTAGTTTCGATCAGTGTCCATCCACCGAATGGAAACGTTTGGAGTCTTCCTTGGGGAAATTATGATGCTACCTCAATCATAAATCACTGGTGAACAATTCGAGAGAGGAAGGACTGCTACGCTTTTGTATTTTCGCCGGACAACTGTCACAAATGCTGGAGCGCTTCCGTTGGGTTCACGGAGTGTTGTCACTAGAAACTTTTTTGACCTTTTGACTTATTGCACTAACATCTCACACTTCTACTGCATCCCATTCTATCGATTGTATTGTCTCTGTTCTCCGAAATTGCACGTTCTTCCCCAAGGCGCACTTCCTACGATGCGTTACTCTATGCCCGCCCGACCTACCCTTGATCGTCCATATAGTGTGGTTTTCGTAAGTTTGTTTCTCTTCGGAAACTGAATCTTCTTGCGTGAAACTTTGTTTGTTGTCTCTAGTGATCACAATTGACATATTCATGTTGGGAAAGAATGCTAGAATTCTCCCGGGCCGATTCCTCAAATGCCGCAGGTAAAAACAAGCAACTCACAGCGTCTTACCTGTAAACCTTACAAAATAACAGCCTATAGTAGGTTCAAGAAGCTCACAGAAGAATATTTTGCCTCCACATTTCCTGCTGGCTGAAGAGTGAATAAAACCAAAGCTACCCCTAACTCGAAGTTTCTTATTTCTTCGCGCATCAAGTTTGGTTTCATCCATTTGAATATGAGAGGTATTGATTGGAATAACTTTTTTGTAAATTATTTTCTTGAAGGAGACATTAGGAGAAATTCAGGAAGATACTCACCGTGCGTGGAGGCCTTCCGCCTTTCGGTGAATGGATGGAGAGGGTCTTCGGATGTCAGCAGCGCTCAAACCATGACAGCATAAAGACGACAGCCGTCCGACTCGTTAAGTGATTGGGTGGGAGAAGATTAAGAAATAATCAATGCCTCTACCCACCCAACCGCTTAGGCGTGATGATGGATCGCTTGTAGATCAAATCTGATTCAGACAGAACGAGAAACCATGAGAAACGGTTTAGCACCCACGAAATGGGACTCCTTCCTTTCCCGTTAACTTCCGCATTGATGTATTTTTCAAGAGTGCTGTTCTCTTCAAGGATAACGCTGCTCTATCTGCTGAACGGCTAGAGTCAGATGGTGAGGGTGTGGGGGTGCCATGGCACAAAGGAGCAAGTACGGCCTCCCTGGCTGCTGGGGGCATACTCTCGCTCCACGGAGAATGAAAGACGCTTGCTACGAGACAAGGGCGTTACGGCCTTCCCAGTGCCGCATAGCCGCTCCCGCCTCTTTTCCGCAGTCTACATGTCTGCGCCCTCTCATTCGTTGCGATCTCTCGCACATCCTCTTTGCGCTCGGTGTATCTTTTAAGGCACAACGAATTGTAAAAAAATGAGTTCACCCTCCAATTCAGTATGACGGATTCGCATCATTTTCCTTCAGTACCGGTTCACTTCACAATCCTACAATAATTTGAGACTGTAGGAATCACACCAGTTTAGTCGTGGGTGTACCTTTAAGCAGTCTATAGCAAAGCCCGGCTCGTTGACCTTTCTTTCTTCCCCATTAATTTTGAGACTATTCAGCAGCCTGAAAACCAGTTACGCAGAGCATATCAGCACAGTCCTTCACTGAAGTTTAACGTTACACATAGAAGTCCTTTTTGCTTCCGAATTATGAATTTTTGTAATACGCCCGCCCGGACTCAAACTGAACCTTCTGTCTTGATATCAAATTTGTGCAGCAGATCACATCAACGACTCAGTTCGAAAGCAGCAATTCCGCGTTAACGAAAAAAGGAATGAAATTGTGTCTAGAAAATTGACCAAGATGGTGGAGACAGGAGGGAGAAATAGTTGGATCTTCTAGGATTTCATGCTTCTGTGCAAGGGCCAGGCTGTTTCTGTTTTGTAGAAATTTCAAACAAAAATAAGAAACTTTTTTCGATCTGAAGTATAATCTTGTTTTCAAAGTTTTATCAGAGCAAACCTTCTATCAAGATTTCATGAACCCATTTATTTCTCTCGTCAAAACATATGAAATACACCACATTTTTCCTACGCAACAACAAAAAGCAGCAGAAATTGATGGGGCAGGGGACGGTATTCACAACGCCTGTCACAGTTTCTCCTGTCGCAAGTTCAAGGTGACCTGTCTTTGGACATTGCAGGGGAATGAAGAAAGTCTTTCGCGGTCCTCGAGTTTTCGAATCCAAAATCTGACAAGCCATGCCGAAAACTGTACTGGAACATTTTCATAAATCTCAGCTATTTGTTGGAATGCAAGGGGCACACCACATCTAAAGCAAGCAGGACTGCGCTGTTATACACAAAGTGACTTCCGCACGATGGCAGCATCTACCGTCTCCTATTCGAGCCATCACTCCTTCAGTCCAGAATTATGTTGGGCCAACAACCCCAGACGAGGTTGTGGAGAAGAATGTTATTCTGTAGGTGGGATATAGTAGTCCACGAGCATCACAGATGCGCCGCTGACGCGACTCGAAACTGTGCGACAACAGCGGTAGGACCATACAAAGACAAGAATCTACCATCAGTACGCAATCGGTGGCTACCGTAACCTGGCGCCATCAATATGCGAGACCGCCGCGAGCACGTACTTCTCGCGGATCGTCTCTGATTTAGATTCCGTAATGGGCAACATTGAATCTTCGACTAGTTGAGAATAGTTGTTGTTAAACTGACACAGCTAGAAAAACTTCTGATACATTGCGCACGAACTTTACTGACGTCTCATTTACAATTGTGAGTGTGCGTCTCATATTCGTCCCGACTAAATCTGATCCGCATCGACTTGTAGTATATGGGTAACCTAAGTCAGTTTTACTGTATCATCCAAGTTTAGATAACTTGTGAGTAATATCTCGGATTGAGATGGGGCCGCGTGCAGGTTGTAAAAGTGCATGCAGGTGCAGACTAGTATCCCTAGGTGTAACCTTAGGTACTTGAGATTCTCTCACATGGCTGTAAACCTAAGGGCCATGTCCTAGTTTGCGAAT